ATTTAACATCAACCTGAAAGTAAATGAAAACAGAAATAATTTTAAATTTTCATTTCAATTCAGGCATCAAGGGGTTAAATCAAGTTTACACGTGTGGTTGTTTTTACCCTCACGGGTCCAGTGAGCAAACCTATACTAAAACTGAACTGATATGTTACCAGCAATTATCATTCATCAAATCTAGATGCGATCCTGCTCGTTAATATAAGAGCTGACCAGACCAACGATGACAGCTGCTGCTGTGGAGCAAAGACAAATCTCTGGGCACAGACATCATTTTCAAACAGGTCAATCAGGTGTGTCACGTGGATTTTGAAAGCAAACACACAGACTGCTCAGTCTACACTTCATATTGGGGGGTGGCGATGGTACAGAGGATAAGACCAGGGTTCAATTCCCCACTGTGACACACCCATCAATGTGTCCCTGAGCAAGACACTTAACCCCTACTTGCTCCTGAGGTGTGCGACCTTCTGACATGTACAGCAATGGTATGTCACTTTAAAAAAAGCACCAGCTAAATGATTAAATGTAAAATGTAATGTAAAAACAGAAATTCCTAAAATAACTCCAAACACTCAGGCGCAGGAGAGGTATATGTAGACACAAACACATGCTGAAAACGTAAACACTGAAAATGTTCACACCCCACCAACAGCACACAGAGTTGGAAATAGGCTACTTGTGTGTGGGTATCTCAGTTTATGTGTGTAAAATACACATGGCACATGTAAAAAATCCATGGTCAAAATCCATGTATTATGAGATCATATTTCTAAGATCAGCCAATCATTGCATATTGATGATCATAAAATAAAGTATTGTAGGTTTCCTGAAAAAGCAGACAAAGGAATGAAGTGTGTCAAATAAATCATGGTGATGAGCACTAACGAAATGACGTGCAATAAATCTCTCTCCAATAAATAAATATCGCTTTAGGCATGTTGAACTAAATATTGTTCCAAAATCTGTGAACGCATGATTAATTGTGCATATGGTTGCCTAGATAGACAATCTGTCACTACAAGGCACATCTCTCACACACAAATCCCTGTTTTATAATGATCGCCATGATTTTATTTTGAAAGTTGGGACAGGAAGTTTCTATGTGGTTTCTATCTGCACTTTGACACGTTTTTCAGGAGGGTGGCAAAATAGCACACCTATAAAGATCAGGCAGCAACACGGTGTGGACAATAGCAATGGCAGGCAAACGTATTTTTGAGGAGGCTTTGAGGTCCACTGAAATTACTTTACACACACACTCAGATACCCACACACATGTAGCCTGTATCCCGCTCTGTGGGAAGTTGGTGGGGTGTGAACATTTTCAGTGTGTATGTGCACATTATCAATGTGCATGTATTTCAGTGTTTTCAGTGTCTGTATTTCAGTGTTTGAAGTGCACGCGATGCAATGAGACTAGAGACAAGAGGAGAGGAAAATATCACAATAAAACAGGAAGCAGAGAATGGATTAATAAGTTACAAGACAAAAACATAATCAAATACAGAGAAAGGGTAAACACAAATGAAAACAGGAAATTCAAAAACAAACACACAGTGGAATTAAAACACGTCACCCTCAGGGTCACTGGCAGATCTAAAAGTAGAATGGACTCTGTTCTTGCACTGTCTCCTTTTGTCTCAGCTAAGACAGCTATGTTGATAGGAATGGCTGTTACCTTGGAGATATGGTGTGTTTGGGGTACGTCTTCAATCTTAGCTGTTTACAGACTGACTGTCTCTGCTGAAATGCAACACATGTGCCCTCCAGATCCTAACATGACTTTGATAATGCGTTTGATTCTAGCTTCATGTAGGATGGCTATACATATTTAGGCCAGCAAAGAATGGCATTGTATGGAATATATTGTAGAGTCTATAGGATAGCAAAGGGATAAATATTGTAGATCAAGAGGCAATCTCCTGATTTGGTATTACACTGCATTCATACTCTGTACTGCTGATACTGTCTCCCTGGCTGAGCGTCATTAAACAATGCAGTGTCAAACACCCTGAGTGACAGCATCGGATTGATGCGGTCATATAAAAATATAAACGTCTTCATCAATATTACATACAGTATTTAACTATTTATTTCTGTCATCGTGGTGCACATTAAATAAAACCCACACTAACTGCCTGTGGCTGCAGATTTGAGAGGACATTGTGATTTCCTGAAGGGGCATCTTTCCATTTGTTAAGCTATTGCAGTCCTTGTGACTGGCAGAGCTGTTTCAGACAGATGAGACCAGTGATGTGATTGGCTGAGTGTATCTATTAATCACAGCACCCTCCAATTTATATACCAATTCACCCAGCCCTTATGTACTTTGCGCTTCTGCACGTACATTAACCAAAGTAGCAGGCACACTTGGAGATACAGTACCTATGCAGTCCGTGCACCCAAGACCTTAAAGGTTAAATGTCCACCTAGCTTGTAGCTTGTAATGCAGGCTCTTCTGTACAAAGTGTTTAGTCTTCAAGGCCAAGCTTAGAGAGCCCCGACATGTCTTCTCAGATTTGACAAGCTTCTCCAGAGCCACAGCAGACATTATACAAGTGTTTTACTATTACAAAAGGGAAGCAATGTGGTCATAAAAGCTGGTAAAATACTATAAACCTGAAGAGACAAGGGCTCACCACAAAGTAATTGAGGTTAGGTAGGCTGAGGTAGGTTAATGAAATGTTTTTCTTTTAAGCTAGAATAAGTAAGGTGGTGTAGTGTGTTGTAGATCATACGACCTGTTCTTAATGTAGATAATGATAGTCAAATAAGATAACTTACAAGGGCACAGCACAAAGAATAAATTTTAAAAAAGCAGACAAAATGATGCATGGCATTACGCCACCACTTCATTCAGACAGGAATCCAATTAAAAATAAAAGTCAGTATGCTGAGTCTTCTATACCATACAGTCTCCCAAGCTTGGTCCACATCCATGCCCATGTTGTACTGAAGCAGCACACTACATGTTAGACCCCGTCTGTCTGAATGAAAAGATCCAGACTTAATGACATCAGTGTAATAAACACCGATCACAAGAGAAACTCCAAGGGCACACAACTGTGTGTTGTACGCTATGCCAGGATGACTGGGTTGTCTTCAGTTATTCACAGTAATGTGTGTGTGTGTGTGTGTGTGTGTGTGTGTGTGTGTGTGTGTGTGTGTGTGTGTGTGTGTGAGTGTGGGTGTGTGGTAGTAGACAGGTAGGCATGCGAGCAACTGAAACAGACACAGAGGTGGACAGACAGTCCTACATGTAGCCAGAGCAGGGTTACTGTGTGGAAACGCTCGGCCTGCACCGTCAGCTTCACACCAGCTACTGCAGCGGGAATCACTGCTTAAAATTCAACATGCACTGCTGCCCCGTTGGCTGCGTTTTAGAAACCCTTTCCACAATCAGGTTGTAATTGGCAGAGCTAATGAAAGGAAAGTGAAACATAGCACAAGCACCATTCATTCAGGGGCCAGGGAGTTATTACGGTGAGGAGGTCTCTGCAGTCGACATTAAGTCGGATCCTTTTATGTTGTGATTATTATTATTATTTATGTCTAAACAAAGATCTGGCAAAAGCCATGAAAATATATGCAGGTGCTTTATGTAAAATAATCACATCAGGGAGCATTCAATATTCCTTAATAACTCAAGAGGCTGATCAAATAATTGCTGAATCAATCCAGATACATAGGTAGCTATCACATTTGATCCTTTCGACTGAGCTATGACATGGCCATTTTAAATGTGATCTTGTAATTTTGAGAATTTTATCATGGACCTAAGATCAGGCAAAGGTCAGCTGTAATCTAAGAGGAAACTGTGTCTTAAAGCTGCAGTAATCCATATTTATTTATTAACTGGATCAAAAGGCATGGATATGTAAACTCTGAAAGATGAGCCTCCTTTAGCTCATTGTTTTGAAAAAGTCCTGTTAAACCCACTGTACACTATCTTGCCAGCATCAAACAGCAGCAACACTTATTAGTATAAAGAAGAACAATGCATGTTGGCTAATTTTTAAAAACTTATTAAATGTTTTTGCTTCATACCTCTCTTAGTGAAATGGTTTCTGTAATGTGATTTGTGATGACCCTGATGCAGGCCACAAGCTGAAACGTGATGGTCTGACAAGTAAGTGTAGCTGAAGTTCTGACCTCTTCAGACTTCCAATCAAATCAAATGAAATCAATACAAATAAACAGGTGGGTTTCACATTTGATCTTGTGTGAGTTAGGAGAAGGCAGCGTGTATACCATTTTAAATTTAAATGGTCGTGTCTGACTTTATATCATGGATCAAAGATCAGGCCAATATCAGTAGTAAGAAGATGCATGAAAAAACAAAATCAGAATGAGCTTAACATTCATTTTGAAATGACAGCTAATGATTAATCAGATTGACCAGGCAGGTTTCACATTTGATGTATGATGAATATGACATTTAAAATTTGGTGAAGCAAAGGTCAGCAGTAATAGACATGGGAGCTGCCCCCTGAAACAAAAATTGTTTTTTTGTGGGATCGTTTTGCTTTTATTAATACAAATAATCTAGAGTAGAGACTAACAAATATTCTCATTATCAGTTTTTTTTGTTAGGCTTTTGTTTTTCAGATTAATTGTTATATACAATGTCAAAAAAATGTGTATAAGTGTCTTATTTTGTCCAGCCAACAGTCCAGACCCCAAAGCTGTTCAGTTTACAGTTTAGAGTTGGGTGTTTTTAATTGACAAATGGCCTAAATAATTATACATTATACATACATCAGTTTCAAATCAGCATCAAATTGCTGGTTGACTACTTGATTAATCTGATGTAGTAATCATATGATGATAGTCCAGAGATGACACAAAACCAGAATGGATGTGGCTTCTATTTGAAAGCATCTACAGATAAAGGATGTTTGATTGCTTAGGCTAGTGATCTTCAGTGTGTTCACTGACCATCAGTGAACCTGCAGGTCTGATGGGTGAAGTCTGCTGGTGAAGTTTGTACTCACCATCAGTGTGGGCAGCCCGGCCACCACGGCGTACAGCAGGACGGGCGGGACGGCGCTGTTGTCCTCGGGTCCCAGGTAGGGTTTGGTGTAGGTGGTGTCGTAGCAGAAAAACCCCTGCACGTGCACAGTGAAGGTGTCGGTGTACTCGAAGTAGTAGGCCAGCATGATGGTCCCGGCCATGATCACCAGCTGGAAATACAGCATGATGCAAACGGAGAGCGAAAGACATTTAATTAGAACAAACGTGTCTTTTCTCTCTCTCTCTCCCGCTCTCTCTCCTACCCAGCCTCCTCCTCCTCCCCGGCAGTACCGACTCCCGCTGACCGGCTCATAACGGCTCGGCTGCACGCGATGAGCCGCTCTCTAATCGTGGTGGAGGCTCAGCTCGCCCTCTGCTCGCTGCTGCTGAGACTGCAGACTGTGTGTGAGAGAGTGAGAGCAAGAGAGAAAGAAAGAAAGAGGGAGGGAGTGTGTGTGAGGGTGTGTATGTAAGAGATGAGGAGTCTCTCTCTCTCCGTATCTCTCTTTCTCTCTGTGTGTGAGAGAAAGAGAGATACAGATTAGAGTGACATGTGGGCAATAGAAGGATTGACAGCTCCCTCCATCTTGTGCATGTGTGTGTTTGTGTGCGTTTGTGTGGGTGTAAATTGAACAGAACCACGAAATGCATTGCCATGTTTAACCAAATCAGGAACAGACAGGAGAAAAGCAGAAGGGGGAGAAGGAAAGGAGAAAAAAGAAAGAAAGAACAGAGAGATGGAGAGAGGGGGAGGGAGAGAGCTAATAAATATAATATGTGCTTTGGATTTAAGTAACAAATTGACTGAGGTGGAGAAAGGGTTTCTATGGTGTGCCACTGTAACATGTAGCAAGTTATTGCTTGTGGGCATTGAGGTGTTCAGATTCTTTACATAAGTAGCAAATACCACGCTGTAAAAATACCTAACATTATAATCCTTATAACCCATGTTTCACAGGCTGCATTTTTTTCTGCAATGGCCATTAAATCTATTTACATCATCATTATTATCTCTCTATGTAATAGTTGCCATTGCTACTGGCAGAGTCCGCTAATCCTGCACAGGAAATCACATACAAGCAAACAGGGAAACACAGAAAGGGATGCAATAAGGGGCTGTTCTGTAATTTAAGTGATAGACAGCTCCCTGTATGATCATTCTCTTCAGCTGTGTAAAAGGACAGGTTCACATTTTTCATGTCTGTCTTAAAATACAAGTACATTGAAACTGAAATCAGCCTGGCAGGTTCGAACCCAGAACTTTCTTTCTGTAAGGTGACAGTGATAACCACTGTTTTAAGGACAGACTTATTATTTTGTGGTGTTGTTTCCGGCAATCACACCCAAAGACACAATTTTAATGCTGGATAACACTGAATGATTTTCCCCCCAAGGTTTGTGTAGGCATTTGTGACCGAGGACTGAGGTTTCCTTCGGAGAGATAAGCCATCCGATAAAAGTAGTACAACTGCCTTACTTGAGACAGTATTTTGCTGGATAGTTTTTAAAATCCTACACATCATATATGAATGAAAGTTCATTCTTGACCTCAGGATTAGTAGCTTCACAAAATAATAGCTCATGTCAACTGCCATCCCTAATGTTTTGTCACATTATTAAGCCTCTTGTACTGTATCAATCATTCTGAATGGCTCTGTATGTAATCCAAATAGCTTACATTTTCTACATATGTACTGTGTGTGGAAAGTAAAATCAACAACTCTAAGTGTTGTGTATAATGTTCCCTGCCAGACTTTCAGGTAAGTGCCAGAGACCATTATCCATGCACCCTGCAAACCCCTCGAATGTCTAGTGAGCCTTATTCAAATGCATCCATTACATTTTTATGTTGACTTTTTGCCATACTTCCAAAAGGTACTTTTCTGTCTCACTGTGCTTACCTTCTTTTGTCATAACTCTTCATACATTTCCACTTCCTGTCATGCTGGAATGCTTGTGTTATGTTAAATACCCACTGCTGGCTCTGTGGTTATTTATATTATCTTTTTTCTTTATTTATTTCCCCTCTATTTGCTGCAGTGACCCCATTTCCCCACATGGATCATTGAAGCCTCATCCTCTTTCATTTTCCACACCCTCTCCGTCTCTTTCTCCAACACCAGAAACCTATTTATCTGCTCCACTGACATGCTGAAACCCATAAGTGAAGGATGTCAGAGGAGACAGAGAGATGGATGAAGATGGAGAGACGGATGAAGATGGAGGTACAGATGCCGAGGGTGCATGGAGTCAGGTGGGTACATGCTGACAGCTCTGAGTTATGGTTGCGATTACTGTGTCACTCTGTCATCCCTCCCCATTTCAATACTAACCAGGCCTAATCTACAGTATATGCTGCTCGCTTCATGTTCAATGTTTTTCCTACATAATAATGTCATCAGAAAGTGGTTAATTACAGCCTGTATACATTATGAATCCAGTGGTATCAGTCTGACATGGTTGTATAATTAACAATAAACCTTGATGTTCAGGACACAAGTATGATGGCGCTGGGGTGTGACCCTCCCTGGAGCTAATATTTTTCCTTAAGCAAAAAGCTCCAGCTCTGAAACAAAAATAAGACACTAACTAGTCTAGCCAATGAGCAAACAGCACGGAGGGAGTGAGAGTTATCACCAAAACAAACAGCTAATTTCTTAAGCAAAATGCAAATCCTCCTTACAAATAGTTGCATCATCACACAAGCTGTATGCTCGCACTTCAGCAGAATATGGGTGTATGACAGCCACCCTCCTACACATCTACACATCACACATCCAGTAAAATTAGAACTGTTGATTTATTTATTTTTCAGAATGTAACAGGGTCTGACGGCTCTCCTCGCGGCGCACGTTCACTGTGAATGCACGCCACCATGCAGAGACACGCTGAGAGTCTGAAATGCATTATAAAAGGCAGTATAGAGCTCTAATGTTACAGTTTAAATGGCCTACAAGCTATAGTCATGCATGCACCGCATCTAAAGGGCGTTTAAGGTGGGGTGTGAGGTTATTGTAGGGGTGGGGGATACCAAGTTCAGCAATTAGCGTAGTTTTGGGGGGCATTCAAGTGGATTCACCAGACTGAGTGGAAAACAGATGATATGATAATCAATATAACTACATATCTTCCTAAAAAATCATTGAATAGTTGCATTTTCTTCTTAGATAATTATTGTAATCACTGAGAAAAGACACAAGAAATTTGCAAAGATAAATGCATCGTCCGTGAACATGTGTTATGAGCATGCACTAAATGATCAGCTATTTCATCAGCAACCTCTGTGCGGATCAGCCAAGGTTTAGTTACAACTTTGGAGAAATGAAAGATGGAAAGCAATGGGTTGACAGTTGACTACTGAATTTAAAATGTTGATTAACTGGGCATCCTGAGCGTAATAACCATCAAATATTCAGCCAAGCCAGAGTATAAATAGTATTTTATTAGTGCTGGGCAACGATTAAAATTTCTAATCGCATGATTTTCTTGCGATTAACAGGAGGGAATTTGCATGGCAGAGCATCCCCGCAAAACTAGATGTAGGCCTATAAGGTAAAGTTATGTAGCCTATAATTTTAACTTAAGTTAAATAGGTTACAGCTGTGTGGCGCACAGAAGCTGTTTCCATAGTTACTCTCAATAGAGTGCCTGTCATTTACTTGTGGAGCGCTTGTCCTCTTCTCCCACACGCTGCATCCAAGTAGTTTGCCGAAGCCTCCTTCCACTGCTTGCAGGCTGATCTACATCCCACCCTTCCTGTGACCCATGGTTTGACTGTGTGTGTATTCAGAGCCAGTGATCAACAGACTTTGAAAATAATAATAATTTTTAAAATACTGCGTTAACGTGGGATAAAACAATTGTTGCAATTACTTAATTAAGGCATTAACGCGATAATAATGCATTAACGTGCCCAGCCCTATATTTTATATATATATATATTATAACATATAAAAGGAAACAAGAGGAGATGCTGGATCATCAGCCAGTACAAGCACAGACTCAGCTTAGTTAATATTCACTTATCCTATTCAACAAAATATCATACCATTCTGTTCTATAGAGGTCTACTTCTTCTTAAACTCACAGATGGAGCGACTTCAAGCACTTCTTGGAATAAAGTTAATCAAGTTTACCATTTTACTTCAGCATGTTAGCATGCTAACATTTGCTGATTAGCACTTGAACAGAGCTTTAAATTCAGCTGCAGTTGTTTTAGGGACATTGGCCAAAGATACATTTGCAACCTGTGACACTTGCACTCATGAAAATGCTAATTGTTTCCAGGAAATTTAGGGCAACTTTTTTCATTTCTATAACTGCAAAGTTCCATAAAAAAAAAAAAAAATTACGTATCCTGGACGTATGGTAATCTTAGTCTTGCATTACCATATGTAAGCACATGTGAAATGTACATTTTCACATGTGAATGATAGAATATGTGTGAATAGACTCACATACATTGACTAAAAGGTGAATAGTAGAAATCCCAGACATACTGTTTGCACACACAGATGTCAAAATGTCGACACACATATACAGTGTGTGTGTTATTTGTTACACAAACACACAGGATCATCCATGCAGAAAGGAGGCTGCAGTGGTGAATCTATGAACACAGTTGAGTTCTCTGCAGACCTATATGTCCATCTGTCCCAGTCCTGCTCAGCCTATGAGGAGTCCCACAGGCACTGCTCTGCTGCTAAGGCACTGATTAGGCTACACGCACACACACACACATGCACTGATGTATCAGTTTTTTATTAACACACACAAACACTGTTTTAATGTTTTATTTACTAATTTAATGAAATGTATGAAAGTAATTAAAGTAAAGGTCGATGGTGTCTTTTGTGTGCTTGTTTTTTATTCAAGCAGCTGATGTTTGACATATACGAGTATCATATACGAGTATCATTATACAATGGCAGGTTGTACAACGAAATTAAAGTGTGTAGTCCCTAAATGCTATAAACATAGAACATAACAGATAATTACATTTATATTATAATAGGGTAAAGTAAAAAATATAAATAAAGCCATATAGGCCTAAACAATTATACATATACACACACTAAACATGTTATATATATCTACAGACCCAAGAAATAATTGTTGTTGTTTTTTATTTGCTGAGACTGATGAGTCTTCTCTACTAAAAGAATCAGCTGATCGCCTCTCATCAACTTAAGGAGATGTGACTCTCCACTTAAACTTCAATTCATTTCATTTTAATTATTTAAGCTGATCAGTTTAATAGTTTTGGCCCAAACCAGGATCATCAGTGTTTAGCTTTAGTAGCTTGTGACAAATATGGTGTACAAAAGTCAGTCGGCTACACCTATTATTCCAATGTGGCAGATATCTTTATGTTTAATCAAAACTGTATAACTTATGCTACGATGTAAATAT